CGCCTTCATCCTTACCTGCGTTCTGGCACGGGGCAGCCATGTGCTTCCAGGCCAGAAGCCCTGGCTGGGGCTTCTGGCTGGGCAGGCAGGGCGGAGCAGGCCCTGCTGTTGTGGGAGCACGCCGGGGCTTCCCCTGGGTCCTACTGCCCTTAGTTCCTATCATTTTTTACAGGAACCAAGGGCAGATGAAAATTAATTTTCTAAATTTTTTAGGGGCCCCATGGGCCGGATAGAATGGCCTCGCAGGCTGGATCTGGCCCGCGGGCTGTATTTTGCCCACCCCTGGCATAGGCAAAGCTGGCCTCCAGGCCATTGATTGCTGACTGATTAACTTCTGTGACAAGGTGACTGGCTCTGTGGATGTGGGGAGACCAGTGGATGGGGGGTACCTTGATTTTAGCAAGGCTTTTGATAAGATCTCCCACAGCATTCTCCCCAGCAAGCTAAAGAAGTACGGGCTGGATGAATGGACTGTAAGGTAGATAGAAAACTGGCTGGAGCATCAGGCTCAGAGAGTAGTAATCAATGGCTCAGTGTCTAGATGGCAGCCAGATGTCCAGTTGGCAGCCGATATCAAGTGGAATGCCCCAGGGGTCAGTCCTGAGGCCAGTTTTGTTCACTGTCTCTATCAGTAAGGTGGAAGATGGCACCCTCAGCAAGTTCGCAGATGACACCAAGCTGGTGGGAGTAGTAGATACGCTGGAGGGTAGGACTAGGATTCAGAGTGACCTAGACAGATTGGAGGATTGGGCCAAAAGAAACCTCATGAGGTTCAAAAAGGACAAGTGCAAAGTCCTGTACTTAGGACAGAACAATCACATGCACCAGTACAGGCTTGGGGCTGACCGGCTGGGCAAAGCTTCAGTCCCTGATTTGATTCAGCGGAGATTCGGCCTGATTTGGTGGACAAATCTCTGAATCTGAATAGAATCAGAGGACCCTTTAATCTCTCCGAACTGAATCAGAATCCTCTGAATCGATTCGGAGAGTTTCAGAGATTTGAAATGTTTTAGTGTATAATAAAACAGTAAATAAAGTAAAAACTGAAATAAACAAACAGCTGTGATCTATTTCATACTTACAGAGGGCCCAGAGAGTTCCTTATGTTGAAAAGAGGAACCATCTGTTAGTCATAAAACAAAACTTAATCATCTTTTAGGATTTCCAGTGACCGTTTTGGCACCCAGTGAATCTGCCAATCAAAGCCATTCTGAACCTTTTGGATAGGGTGGGGCATAAATCTAAAAATAAACAAAACAAAACAAAATGCCAATAAAAACATTATTCCTTCATCTCCTCCTTTGGTGTTTGGTTGTATCTACAAAATAATTTAAATGATAAATTTAATAGTGTGGCTATAGTTACATTGATATACTTTATAACATCAATGACCTGGACGATGGGATGGAGTGCACCCTCAGGAAGTTTGCAAATGACACCAAGCTGGGGGGAGTAGTAGATATGGTGGAGGGTAGGGCTAGGATTCAGGGAGACCTTGACAAATTGGAGGATTGGACCAAAAGAAATCTCATGAGGTTCAGTAAGGACAAGTGCAAAGTGCTGCACTTTGGACAAATCAATCCCATGCACCAGTACAGGCTGGGGACCGACTGGCTAAACAGCAGCTCTGCAGAAAAGCTAACTCCAAGGCTCTCGCAGGGACTCCTGCCTGCATTTGGGCTGGGCTGCACCCTCCACTACTACACAGTGCCATTTTAAATCCATTTCAGATTGGGTATCAGACCAGTGCAGTGACTACAGTTGATCTTAGCCCACACGAGGCCAAACCGACTTTTGGGTTTGCTATCAGCACTTTCTTATGACTGCTTGCCTCGAAGGAAGGAAATGCTTCAACTTTGACCGCATTCTCGGTCATTACTCAGCGAGTTCTAGCGAGTGATACAAAGTAAAGGAGACAACGTATTTGAATGCCAAACTCTTGGTTCAGAGATGGCACCTTTTCTTAGGCCAACTAAGAAATTGCAAAAAATAACCCAAAACAAAACAAAACAAAAACTCATTGGTCTAAGAAAAGGCATCATCTCCAAACCAAGAGTTCTGGAGTTGGGCATTTCTCAGACCAAATCCATCCCTCACACATTTCTTTGTCATTTTTCTGTGTCCAAATCCCTCCCTCACGCTTATATTTGCGGAATCTTTCTGCGCACACTAGTTTTTCAGAGAACAGGGTCGGTTTTGAGCGTCCGATGCAATGATTTGATATGGAAGACCGCGAGCCCTGGCTTGAACAAGGCAGGCAATGCCTGTCCGCGCTGCCTGGGGCGCCAAGCGAAGCCTGGCCGGGCTGCTCCTGGGCCTGTATGTAAGCAGGGCTGCGCTGGGCGCGGGCTGAGCAGGGCTGTCCTGGCCCTGCCCGGCCCGCGGGGTGCAGCGCCCCTCCCCCGCTGTCTCCGCCACGTCACAGGCGTCCTCGGGCGCGGGCTGCCTCCGGC